TCATTTAACTAAGCGCGCGTTTTATAAGCTTTAAAAAGTATTTATTAACCGGTTTTAAGCGAAAATTATCATTTTTATAAACATGAAAAACACATAGATTAAGTTTGTAGTATTAGTGGAATTACCAGCAGTAATTATCTTTGAATTATTGGTGCAACTATTACTATTTATTTGCTTTTTTGAAAATTGTGAACAAAATTATTAGGTAACATTAAGCGCTAGTAGTTTAACGTTGAAGAATAAACATTACGCCATTAAAAAAAAATTATATTCATTAATTAAAAAACAAAATATTCTCGGTCAAAAAATTCCAATTTATTCCGAATCTATAGGTAAGACTTAAAAGTGATTTTCGAGCGTATTGTACAAAGAAGTATTTCCGATCAGCATCACTTTCCGTGTTTTAAACTGCACATGTGTTTGCTAGTTGGATCTGATTGATTGAAAGTGGAGTGGTAGTACAGACTTCAGCTTGCTCTAATTTCAAATAAATGCTTGTCTCTCTGAATTGTAACACTTACTTTCTTTTAATTTGATTTGTTTTGATGTTCATTTTTGCACTATTTTCGACTTTAACCGACGATTTAAACCAAAAAGTCATTAATAATTGTGCCATGCTTAACACCGGTCACAACGAGAATAGAAATGGCATCAAATTAAAGAGACACGAGCAAAGTTTAGAGAGCATCGACACCACTCCATACGCGTTGTGAAGTAGAGGTGTTGAACAATAGAGTCCATTGCTGGCATTTGCATGAAATGTATATAAAAAAGTTGGAATTATACTCGTAAATTACCAGCATACAAAACTGAAACAAAGTATCAAACAACTCAAACATGACACACAAATAATTTGTGCTAGAGCACTCCCTTTTCTACCACTGGATAGAAACAATAAATAAAAGCGCCAATCAGTAAATGAAACTTGTATTAATTAGAAAATCGTACCAGATGAACATTTAGGTAGAAGACAAGTTTATGTCTCAGACAAAAATGGGCTGTTACTTGAACTAACACATTCCTGAGCTGAAACAGCCTAGTTAGAAACAAATAGGCGGTTTTCATGTAATAAGCGGAATTTCAAAGCACTTAAGTTTTACGCCTCTTTGTTAAAATTGGGCCAGCGGATCAGATATGACCACAATTTTTGTCATTTAACTCAAAAATCGTTTGAGSTACATCACTCGTACTCCACCACTGGATACAACATTAAAACCGTCTGTCAATAAATAAAATTTGTGAAAAATAARWGTTTTTTCACATCTGGGTACAAAGAACATGTTTTAGGTTCAAACACAACGTCACCTTTTTGTTCATATCTCAGACAAAAATTGAGCTAGCGCTTTCATTTCTTCACGACTGAATAGAGAATTGATTAACCCATTTACCAAGAATTTTGAAAATTGCAAATTTGCCACGATTAAAAATTTAAACGACGGATTCCAGAGTTGCTCAAAAATATACGTGGTTAAATAAATATAGGAAATTGTTTCACTCAATCGGTATTTATAACTCCTAGATAGAGTGTATCTAGTGTGTCTGTTTTTATCTATTTCGTACTTGCAATTTTCGATTTCGATTTTTGTTGTTTATCCAGCTAGGAATGTTTGCTTTTGTTTCATTTGATTATCTGCAGTTGCTTCAATTTGTCGTTTGGTTACTTGAGTTTCTCACATATTCATTATTATTTTTTTGTAGTTTTGGTATTCTGCATCGGGTGATTTGTCGCTGTGTTGTCTTTCATGAAACACAAATACTTGAATTTCTATTTCAAATGCAAAATTTACTCTTTCTTGTACAATAATAAGTTTAGAACAAGTTTCTCCCTTTCTCGATTTTTAAGACACTTTTCGTCTTTCTTTGTATATCGTATCTGCTGATTCGTTCTTGTTGCGCTGCTTTAAATCTACTTTTTCTTATTAGAGAAAAACATTATCTTAGTTAATTTAAATAATTGACACCGTCATATTTTTTTACTGTTTTGGTTGTCCTTCTTGATAACTGTTACGTTCGATTGGCCTATTTTGCATGCAACTTTTTAAATTTGAGTAATTTCTAGTTTTCTCTTTTATGGTCTTTGGTATTTCGCTGCATGATGACCATGTCTTTTCAGGTGTTACCTGTAAACATTGAACACCTGAAAAGTTTAGATGTGACTTTTCGATCAATTTGTCTCTTGTGGATCACAACTTTCCATTTTTCTCTATTTTCATTTTCAAGTCGCTTTGAGGGTTATAATACCAATGAATTGGTCTGTATTTGTTTTCTTATATTTTCTAATAATTATCAATTTTTTCGTTCACAGTTGATTTTATTTTCTTTCATTTCCTTCGGCGTATTTATCATGTTTTCCTTTCCATTTTAGTTTCTTAGCTGGTGACTAGTGGCTGTGTTGTTTTTCATAAGCGCTACTGTTTCTATTTTTCAATTGGGCAAATTTGTGCTAATCGTGGTAAACTTTCCTCTTAAGGCACATTGTTTCTTATTTCAATGAATCGATATTGCTCTCGAGCTTTCGTCAATCTAGTTTCCAGTGATTTAATTATTCAAATTTGCCAAATAAGTTTGTATTGTTCTGTTGTTTTTTCCTCAAACAACATGCATTTGGGTTTCAGTTAATCGTGTTTGCATTAAACCGATATTTGTTTAAACAATAGAACAATACAGACGGTTTAAAATACATATAAAATTTATGCGATCCGAAAATCGCTTCAGATGTATTTAGACGACCACTTTCTGAACATCGAACAATTTCTGGGAAAATATATTTGCCTAGAGTTCTTCTTTCAGGAAATTTTTAAACATGCAAATCGGTTCTTACGATATTCCCTACCCTGTATAATGTATGAAGGCTTTCGTACAAACACACAGGGTGTCAAAATCATATGAAAAGGTCTCATTAAAAAATGAGCAGATCCTCCAAAGAAATAGCCGTTTAAAACGCCGCTGAAAATAGGTTTTTACTAAATTGCCTCTAGAACTCGGTATAAGTTGATACATTTTAATATATTAGATACTAGTTAAAACTCTTTACAATAGTGTCTTTGAAAATAATTTTGCTGTTTGAGTTCGTTCAACCGAGCAGTTTGTTCACATTAATGCTCATAGTTTTAATGCTAACATTTTTTAGGTAGCTTGGAGCTTTAGGGTAAAAATATATACTCTTATACTATCGATAAAATAGGAATGCCATTCCATTAGAGAAAAATAATTACTTGTGTCATCAAACATATCAAGCTGGAATTTCTCTTTCAACGTATTATTTTCATTAACGTGTAATTAATCCCTAAATACACTACTCTACTTTACTTTCAAAATTATTATCATGCACTATTTTAAACAGTGTATTATAGGTAAGTAAGCAATTTTACAAATTATGTGTTTGTGTGCCGTCAAATTTTCATTAAAATTTGATTTTCATTATGTTAAAACGTTTATTTCCTAGTTTGAACAGGAGTGAAAAACATACTTTTCAAGTGTCCCCAGAGTGAATCCCGTAATTTACAAAAACATTTGGTGAAAAATGTTTGTTGACGTGTTTGGGTTAGATGGTAGATTTAGATTTGAACAAATTAATATCAACAAATACCGAGTTCAAAAATAAGAAATGTATATGCAAATTGTTTGTCTATGCAAAAAACAAAATTTTTCCTAAATTTACACAAAAAAATATTTTTAGGATATAAATATTGATATAACGGGAGTATTTTCTAGTCCCAATTGACAAACACCCTGAAAAATTGTACTTTACAAAAATAAACTTCAAACTTTATTGCAAATATATTTCTTTGGAAAACAGTTCATTTTATCAATATCAAACAAAAGTACTTTTTCAGGTTCAACTTTCAAGGTATCTAAAAATAATTTTCTCGTGTCTGCATCATACAGTGTGCTAAAAATATTAGCATTAATGTGTATAATCTGATTAGTTCTTGGCAAAATTAAACAGCAAAATAAGTTTCAGATGCACTATTGTACGGAGCCTAAACTAGTATCTGACATTAAAAAAGATATGAAATTATGCAGAGTACTTTAAAAGTTATTTAATAAAAAGCGATTTTCAGTGATACCTTTTCCTCTCAATTTACTTCTCATATTTATACATTCTTGGATAAATATAATACCGTTTTTGGATGAAGAACATTTGTTCAAGTTTATGATGTATTTTCTTGAAAATATTTATTGACTTAAACCTGGATTCGAAACATGCAAAATGCAAAACACTCGGTGTTCGAGGGGCTAAAAAGTTGAGATTAGCTATATTTAAAAGTGGCGAAAGAAAGTACCTTTTTGTTCATTTTATTAATGGATTAATATTTAAAATGCTGATAAACTAGCAGTTGTGACTGGTATTTAAATTAAAATGCGAGACAAAAAATGCGAAACAATTTGCTACTCCACTGTATTTGACCCACTGCGGAAATAGTCATTCTTCCCTCTTATTATTCCCTTGGAATTAATGAGCATCATTTTGTCTTACTATACAGCCTCAGAATGCGTATAATATTGGGTAGTGATGGATAAAGTATGTAACAAAATTGGTTCAATTTTTTCCGTTCCCCGTTTTTGTGTCTGTTTTTGGACAAACAACATTATAGTTAGCTCACTTACAGAGAAATTGAGAGTATGAAATGTCAGTTATTAAACAGGACAATTTAAGAATAAACGAAAAACCGTATAAAAACAACTCGCAACTGAACTTTCAGAATCGCTCGGAGTGACATTCGGAATTCAGTTGATTTATTAAAATTGAGCCCCAACTTACTCAGACGTGTAAAACCGACTTTGGAGTCAAAAGAACTCCAGGAGTTTGATAAAGTTTTGTATAAAAACCCCCATAGAAGCAAAACATCTGAATCGAACAAGCAATTAAGTTACATTTTAAATTACGTCAGGTGATGCAGTTAATCTCATTTCATGTTTTGCTTATGTTTTCAATAATAAACAAATGGCGATAAATCTTCGTATGAATTCCTAAGCTTTGTCATTTTTTCTTATAGATTCCAGAAGGACGTGGAGTGTGAAGAAGAGACCAAAATGTACCATATTTTGAGAACTACTGGGTCACTTGTTGGTTTACTGAATCCGCTCCTAAAAGCTCCGAATCAACTCTAATTGGATCAGCAAATGTATGCTTTTTAAATAAATCCTAAGCAGTTTATTCAAATCCCCTGAAGCGTTTAACTACTAAAAAATATTTTCCCTAAAAAAAATAAGCACTTGGATACTCGTGTAAATTCAAATATCAAACACCTGGCCTTTATGGAAATTTGTGCCTCCATCCCTCCATATGTAAAGCCCAAATTCGAGATTTGGTGTATTTTTTTAACGATCCATTTAAAATGTGTTTTCTAAGGTATGCAGACCACTCATACTCCGGAAACTGGATAAGTAATGCAATATAATCCTCTCTCAAAATACCAAGAAAATTTAAAAGCTAAGTAGCAGCTTAGCAAAAAAATCAGAAATTTATTAATTTAATATCTATCATTCTGTTATATAATATCCAGAAGATCCATTCATATCGCCAACTGCTTAAATGAAAAAATCGGTCAATAAAAAAACATTGTGCAATCTAATTCAGTAACACTGATATGGTAATTAGCCCACAGTGACATGCTAACGTATCCTTGAATCTTGGGAATCATCACATGAGAATGAAATGAACAAATTTAACTGCAGTGTTTAGAAAATTTAGCATTAGCTTGCTGTCATCCTGTTTTAACTCTTCACTGGTATGTTTTATTTTCTAATCTTAATTAAAATCAATTAGTCAATATCAGGCCAAAAGCAAATTAATGTATAACAACAAAAAATGTAAACCTTATAAAGTGTTCTTGAAATAAAGGCATACCAGCATTAATACTTAATTTTGTGTTATTATCACTTTTAAAAATCATTTGCATCCTTTAAGTATTTGTGGTCATTATGGGCTTTATTTTCCTAGAACTTTTTGTGCTCCCCACTATGCTTGATAACATAAAATATGTTTATTTGTCAGCGCAAAACAGAACAGAAATAGTTGCCGAAACAATTTCAAACACTTTTTCCTCGAAACGAGTCGCTCGGAACGCCAGTTTGGCTTATAAAAAAGATGCCAAGAAAAGTAATTTAAACTTGGATCAGACACTTTCCCCGGTAAATTTGCTTCCATGAGAACAAACTTGACGGGTAATTCGAATTAGAAACTTTTTGCAAAAAACCCAAAAGTGTAATTAGACTCAATCGCTGGGGACATTTAGCATCAACCAACCTTAGTTTAATAGATTGCAGACGGCCGTTCAATTGTCTTTTAATCTCCAGCAATCATAAAAATTTCCTGATTGAAAACCACTTGAAAACTTTTTTCGTTGCCGGCGACGGAAGCCGGCAAAACACTGTGAATGCGCGAATTCCAGCTATTGCTATGAAATCGCGACGCCAACTGAGAAAACCGACGTCGAGCGAAACAATCGCCAAACGGTAGGAACCTACAGGTGGCAAAGTAAGAGTAGGTACGCTGCCTCAAAATTGTGCGCCTACGAGCACCTGTTTTCTTTCTACAGGTATGATCAACCGCTTTTCTTTCTAAAAATATACAGGGGTTTTAGGCGGGAATTTCCCATGATGCGTTTATGAGAGCCAATAAACCTAGTAATTTAACATGTTTATTATTTTTGCAAAATGTAATTACTTAAATGATTGCAACTATGCAAAGTGTGCAACTCTGTTAGCGTCCAGCTGATTTTTTTAAAATGGGACACCAGCCAGTCCTTCCTAAAATTTGCAGATTTAATGATACATTTTGAATATTTTTTTACAGCATGCCTACTTAGGTCGCAACATACAGGGTGGTTTTCTAGTGAGATAGAGTCCATTATTTCCGTTGATGTTGAACTTTCGAAAAATAGTTTCATATAAAAGTGGTTGACGCACAAAGTGGGCACATTTTAAAAATATCTTATATGTAAAGCTCGGATTAAAGGCAAATTGCTTTTTTTTGCCTATTTTGCTTATTTCAAACATTTATTGGAAGTTTTGCCTTTCTCGGAAATTTGTGT